CCTGTAGAGGTCCTGCTGAGACCACAAGCCCTGTAGAGGTCCTGCTGAGACCACAAGTCCTGCTGAGGTCCTGCTGAGACCTCAAGTCCTGCTGAGGTCACAAGCCCTGCTGAGGTCCTGCTGAGACCACAAGTCCTGCTGAGGTCCTGCTGAGACCACAAGTCCTGCTGAGGTCCTGCTGAGACCACAAGTCCTGTAGAGGTCCTGCTGAGACCACAAGACCTTTAGAGGTCTTGCTGAGGTTGCAGGTCCTGTAGAGGTCTTGCTGAGGTCCCAGGTCCTGTAGAGGTCCTGCTGAGACCACAGGTCCAGCAGAGGTCCTGTTTCCTCAGACGTTAGACCTCTAATTTGTCCTGTTTTTGTCTCTGAACCTTTCAGTCCATCCTTTCGGCCCTGCTTCCTGTTCTGGACTGGCTCCTGGATCAGACGGGTCCGGACTCGCAGTCCCTGCTGCAGGACGAGAACCAGCTGCTGTGCCTGGTTCTGGAGAAGTTTAACGACGAGTCGGCGCCGCTGCTGGGCCGGGACCAGAACTGTTTGGACCTGTTTGTCCGGGCTCTGAAGCTGCCCACGTCTCAGGTCTTCGCTCTGAATCAGGTCAGTTTGGAAAAACAAAAAATGACTTTAATCTGAGATTAAAACCAGGAGATTAAACCTAATCTGTTTTTATTCAATTATATTTTATAACTGAATTAAACTGAAACAGGAGGCAGATTAAAACTTGGATCAGTTTCAGGTAAAAAACTAGAGTTCTTCAAGTCGAGACTAAATTCAAGTTTAGTTTAGTTTAAAATTAAGATTATTTTTTATTTTACTTGAATTTCAGACTTTTCCTTTAAATGTAGATTATTATTAAATGTGTAATAGTTTATAGATATTTTTAAAAATTATAAACTGCAGAAAAAAACCTGATTTATGCTGCGGTTTGACTCGTTAAATTTAATCTTTAATCCTAATCTGGTCAGGATTTAGTTGCTGTTAGAATCAAGATTATTGTTAATAACATAATAATAATAAACTGAACCTAAACTCACTCATGAGGTTTAGTCTGACCGCAGGTTTAAACTCAGCAGATTCCAGGAATTAGCCACGTCCCGTTTCTCTGCAGATCACCAAGACGTTCTTCTCGGACCTCGGAGACGAGAAGGTGCAGCAGAAGGTTCTGTCGGTGCTGCTGGACCTGCTGGTGGAGAGCAGGAATCCTCTGGTGGCCAACACCGTCGGCAGCGTCTTCAAAAGGGTACCTCATCAGAACCAGAGCTGACGGGTTTCAGGCCGATGAGCCGAGTTCAGAACTTTGCTCCTTCCCTACAGATCGCCGTCGATGCTCAGCTGGTGGCCAACGAGCTCGCTCCTCCGGAGAAGCCGAACGTCAGTGTGACGGTGCAACAAACCCGCCGGAGCAAGATGTCCCTGAGGTAGCTGCTGAAATCAGCCGAAGAAATTAAAACAAGCAGTACATGAGCTAGAATGAGCGAAACATGAGATTAAATAAGATCACAAGCTAAATGAGCTAAATGTGAACTAAAATGAGCAGAACAGAAGCTAAAATACGCTTAACAGTACCTAAAATACGTGGAACATGAGCTAAAATGAGCAGAATGGAAGCTAAAACAGGCAGATCACAAGCTAAATGTGCTAAATGTGACCTAAAAGGATCAGAACATGAGCTAAAATGAGCAGAATACAAGCTAAAACAGGCAGATCACAAGCTAAATAAGCTAAATGTGAGCTAAAATGAGTAGAACAGTAGCTAAAAATGCTTAACGGTACCTGAAATAAGCTGAACATGAGCTAAAATAAGCAGAATGGAAGCTAAAACAGGCAGATCAGAAGCTAAATGAACAAAATTTGAGCTAAAATGAGCAGAACAGAAGCTAAAACAGGCAGATCAAAAGCTGAATTAGCAAAATGTGAGCTAGAATGAGCAGAACAGTAGCTAAAATATTAAAATAGTACCTGCAATGAGCAGAACATGAGCTGAAATTAGCAGAATAGAAGCTAAAACAGAAGAACATACACCAGAATGAGCAAAACATGAGCTAAAACATGTAGATCACAAGTTAAATGAGCAAAACGTGCGCTAAAATGAGAAGAATAGCTAAATATTCAGAACATCAATATTCAAAACATTACATGAAAGGAGCAGAACATGAGCTAAAACAGGCAGATTACAGGCTAAATGAGCAAAACGTAAGCTAAAATTAACAGAACAGTAGCTAAAATGAACAGAACGGTAGCTAAAACATTCAGAACAGTACCTGAAATTAGCAAAATAGAAGCTAAACAAGCAGAACAGAAGCTAGAATGATCAAACCAAATAAGCAGATCACAAGCCAAATTAGCAAAATGTGAGCTAAAATTAGCAGAATTGCTAAATATTCAGAACATTACCTGAAAGAAAGCAAAACATGAGCTAAAACAGGCAGATCACAACTGAAATAAGCACAGCACAAGTTAAAATAAGCAAAAGAGTAGCTAAAAAGATCAGAACAGTAGATAAAATGAGCAGAACAAGCTGAAATGAACAGTAAAGTAGCTAAAAGTATCATAAGAAGAAAAACAGAACCAGTTGAGATTTGAAAGTGAAAGTTTTTGCAGAAATTGAAGAGACTTCAGTGTATTTTTATGCGAAAATGTTAAATATTTTTAAACGTATAAAAATAAAAAAAGCTAAAGTCATGACTCGTTATCTTCCATCGAGCTGAACGTTTTGATAAAAACACAAAATCTGCAGAAACAGTTTAAACAGAAAAACTACAGAAGAAACATTAAAGAGGAAAACAGTGACTCAGCAATCTGACTGCTGACTGTGAGGGTTCTGCTGTAAGAACCAGAACCCAAATAACTCCAGAACCTCTGGTTCTGCTCAGGAAAGCTCCGGACAGTGACGGTGGGGGTCCAGAGGGGGGCGCTGTGCCGTGGCAGAGGGTCACTCTGACTCTGGAGCTGCTGCAGCACAAGAAGAAGCTGAAGCGGGCCCAGGTGTTGGTCCCGGTTCTGTTCTCTCTGCTCTCCAGGTGAGGTTCTGCAGGTCCACGGGCCAGGTGACGGACTCAGGTGTTGGTTCTGATGGTTCTGATGTGTGTGTGTTTGTGCTCAGGTGTTTGGACCCAGGTGCAGGTGACCAAACCAACATGGAGTACACCAAGCAGCTGCTGCTCAGCTGTTTGCTCGGCATCTGTAACAAACTGTCTCCTGATGGGGGTCCGGTGGCTGCAGGTCTCTGACCCGGTTCTGACAGAACCCTTCTCTGTTCTGGGCTTTAGTTAGTGTTAGAGGTGTGTTGTCCGTGTCACGTGTTCTTAGCGTGTTTCTGTTTCCTGCAGATGTCCTGGATGAGGAGAAGTTCAGCGTGGAGCTCGTGGTTCAGTGCATCAGAACCTCCGACGTGCCGCAGACCCACCACCACGCTCTGCTGCTGCTGGGCACCGTCGCCTCCATTTTCCCTGTAAGCTCCGCCTCCTCTGTCTGCCAGCTGCCATTGTAAACAAACAAACAAACAAACAAACGTGTGTCCTCCTGCAGGAGAAGGTCCTCCACAACATCATGGCCATCTTCACCTTCATGGGCGCCAACATCCTGCGCCTGGACGACGCCTACAGCTTCAGGGTGATCGAGAAGACTCTGCAGATGGTCATACCTGCGCTCATCCAGGTGAGTCTGGCAGCCACAGGCAGGACCACCCGTTTGCAACAACCACCCTCAGGTGTCTTTCACTCCTCCCCCATCAGGCTCACCGCCTCCCCAACGACTTCTCCTCTGACATGGTGGTGGTGGTGACGAAGATCTTGCACGTGTTCGCCGACTCGCTGCCCCACGTGCCCGAGCACCGGCGGCTGCCCGTCCTGAGTCAGCTGATGACCACCCTGGGCCCCGCCCACTTCCTGTGGGTCCTGATGCTGCTGCTGTTGAAGCTGCACGCCACGCAGAGCGCCGGCAGCGAGAAGGTGACGTCGGCACTTCCTCTCTGTTTGGTTGCTGTGTGTTTAGCATGTTATTCACATGTCCCTGTGTGTTTAGCATGTTATTCACATGTCCCTGTGTGTTTAGCATGTTATTCACATGTCCCTGTGTGTTTAGCCTGTTTTTCACATGTTCCTGTGTGTTTAGCATGTTATTCACATGTCCCTGTGTGTTTAGCATGTTGTTCACATGTTCCTGTGTGTTTAGCCTGTTTTTCACATGTCCCTGTGTGTTTAGCATGTTGTTCACATGTCACTATGTGTTTAGCATGTTTTTCACATGTCACCATGTGTTTAGCATGTTTTTCACATGTTCCTGTGTGTTTAGCATGTTATTCACATGTCCCTGTGTGTTTAGCATGTTTTTCACATGTCACTATGTGTTTAGCATGTTTTTCACATGTCACCGTGTGTTTAGCATGTTTTTCACATGTCACCGTGTGATTAGCATGTTTTTCACATGTTTCTGTGTCTAGCATGTTTTTCATGTGTTCCTGTTTAGCATGTTTTTCATATGTTGCTGTGTGTTTAGCATGTTTTTCACATGTTCCTGTGTTTAGCATGTTTTTCTCATGTCCCTGTGTGTTTAGCATGTTTTTCTCATGTCCCTGTGTGTTTAGCATGTTTTTCACATGTTCCTGTGTGTTTAGCATGTTGTTCACATGTCACTATGTGTTTAGCATGTTTTTCACATGTCACCGTGTGTTTAGCATGTTTTTCACATGTTCCTGTGTGTTTAGCATGTTTTTCACATGTTCCTGTGTTTTTAGCATGTTTTTCACATGTGCCTGTGTGTGTTGTGGACAGGATGCAGCTCTGGAGCAGGACATGGACTTCTGGGTGACGCTCTGCTGTCAGTTCGAGGTGGGCGACCAGCTCACCTCCCTCATCAACATCCTCCACTTCCTGCTGCAGCTGCAGGTGGACGGAGACGGAGGTCAGGGTCTTGGTCCAATCAACCGGCAGCTCCCGTCCGTCAGGCGTCTTCGTAAACGGACTCTGAGGTTTGTTCTTGTCTCCTGCAGCGAAGCGTCCCGTCGTCCGGCGAGCGGCGAAGAAGGAGGAGAAGGTGGAGGAGCTGATCTTCAGCGTGGAGGCTCACAGCAGCAAAGAACTGCGACACTTTAAGTTCCTCTGCGTCTCCTTCATGGCCCAGCTGCTCGGCTCCAGCAGCTTCATCCAGAAGGTGGGAGGGGTTACTTTGTTTTGATTAGACCAGAACTTCCTGATTATGAAACTTCTTATAGAAAAATAACTTCCTGTTTATGATACTTCTTATAGAAGAACTTCCTGTTTATGAAACTTCTTATAGAAAAAGAACTTCCTGTTTATGAAACTTCTTATAGAAGAACTTCCTGTTTATGAAACATTTCATGTTTCAGGTGGCAGACGGAGGCGACACCATCAGTTCGTCTCTGCAGCAGAGGTGAGTGACTGGACATCAGCTGTAAGATTCTGAAGGTCCAGACCTCCATGGTGAACTGTGTGTGTCTGTGGGCGTGTCTATGTCTGTGGGCGTGTCTCAGGCTGCTGGAGGACATCCTGCGGTACATCCAAAGCGTGGCTCGCTGCGTAGAGGAGAATGCTGACAAACCCACAGCCAAGTTCTGGAGAGTTCTGCTCAATAAGAGCTATGAGGTTCTGGACAAGGTGAGTCACACAGACAGACACTTTATGCCCTAAGACATTACCTGAAACTCCTCCCCTTGTCCAGGTGAACGTCTTGCTGCCCACAGACACCTTCATCATGGTGATGAGGGGGCTGATGGGGAATGAGCTGGCGTCAGTTCGGAGGAAGGCCATGGAGCTGCTGAACAACCAGCTGCAGCACCGGGCTCAGTGGGACGAGCAGCAGGTAACCACAACAACCGTTTATTTGGTAAACATTACCACAGGTGCAGCCACTCTGATAGGCCCGCCTCCTGTCCATCACAGGTGTCTGCGCTCCTGGAGCTGACATCCAACCTGCTGAGCATCGTGGGTAAAAGTCACAGTAAGGTCTCGGAGGAGGCGGAGCTAACCATCAACAGGCAGACGGCACTCTACAGCTTGAAGCTGCTCTGTCGCAGTTTTGGCCCCGCCCACCAGGAGGTGTTCGTCCCCGTCCTGCAGCAGGTGGTGGACATCGTCACGGCAGCGGAGGAGGAGAAAAATGTGACGAGCAGCGCTCTGCTCTGCATCGCAGAGGTGATCAGCGCTCTGAAGGTGCTGGCCATCCCACAGTTACCCAGGTACCTGAGTCACATGACCCCGCCTTGCTTTGTTTCTGTGCTCCGCCCACTTACAGCTTACCTGTGTGGTCTTTACTCCTACAGGTTAATGCCAGCTGTTCTGCACACGCTCACTAACAGGAAGGAGCTGCTGACCAATGAGATCTACCTGCTGAGCGCCGTCACAGCTCTGCAGCGAATCACAGAGACACTGCCACACTTCATCAGCCCGTACCTGCAGGACACCACCGTACAGGTAACACACCTGTCTGGAGGTAACACAAATACCTACAGTTCACACACCTGCCTAACAGGTAACACACCTACCTGCAGGTAACACACATACCTACAGGTCACACACCTGCCTAACAGGTAACACACCTACCTGCAGGTCACACACCTGCCTAAGAGGTAACACACCTAACTACAGGTCACACACCTGCCTAAGAGGTAACACACCTACCTACAGGTCACACACCTGCCTAAGAGGTAACACACCTACCTACAGGTCACACACACCTGTCTACAGGTAACACACCTGTCTACAGGTAACACACCTGTCTACAGGTAACACACCTGTCTACAGGTAACACACCTGTCTACAGGTAACAAACCTGCCTTACAGATAACACACCTGTCTACAGATAACACACCTGTCTGCAGATAACACACCTGTCTGCAGGTAACAAACCTGCCTTACAGATAACACACCTGCAGATAACACACCTGTCTACAGATAACACACCTGTCTACAGGTAACACACCTACCTACAGGTCACACACCTGTCTACAGGTAACACACCTGTCTGCAGGTAACAAACCTGCCTTACAGATAACACACCTGTCTACGGGTAACACACCTGTCTGCAGGTAACAAACCTGCCTTACAGATAACACACCTGTCTGCAGAGAACACACCTGCCTTACAGATAACACACCTGTCTGCAGGTAACACACCTACCTGCAGATAACACACCTGTCTGCAGGTAACTCACCTAACTGCAGGTCACACACCTGCCTTACAGGTAACACACATACATGCAGGTAATGCTCCTTCCTAACAGATAATACACCTGCCTACAGGTAGCGCATCTGCCTTTAGGTGATGCACCTGTGAGCAGGGAACACACCTGCCTTACAGATAACACACCTGTTTTCATGTAATACACCTACTCACAGGTAACACACCTGCTTTAGAGATAACACACATACCTACAGGTAACACACCTGTCTACAGGTCACACACCTACTCACAGGTAACACACCTGCTTTACAGGTAACACACCTATCTTCAGGTCACACACTTACTGTACCTGCATGTAACACACCTGTATTTCATGTAACACACCTGAGTGATACTCACATTGAGAAAAAGGTGCTCAGTAGCCTCACCTGTGCACTTTCTGTTCCTGCAGGTGTGTCGGCTGACCCGTCTCCTAGAGACCTCTTCCTCCTCCTCCTCTTCCTCCTCTCAGCTGGCCGCTCGTCTCTCCTCCCTGAGGACCACGCTGGCCTCCACGCTGCCCCCGAGGGTCCTCCTGCCCACTCTGTCCAGGTGCTACAGCACCATGGTGATGGAGAAGAAGGTGAGGAACCGGGTCCGGTTCTGGATCCAGTTCTGGGTCTGTGAGTATTAGTAGGACTCGGCAGTGACAGCAGGTCTAATTCTGTTCCCCTGCAGGACCAGTTGGGGGCGCTGATGAGCGTTCTGAAGGAGCACATTGGTCACATGTCTAAAGAGCAGCTGAGCTTCCACCAATCAGAGCTCAGCGCCTTCTTCCTCACCGCGCTGGACTTCAGGGCCCAGCACTGCCAGGTGGCAAGACCGTCTGTAAACAAACAAACAGCAGGTTGGAGCTGAACCTCTTCTCTCTCGTCTCAGGGTGATCTACAGAAGACTTCACAGGTGGAGGGCGGAGTCATCGACTGTCTCATCGCCATGGTGATGAAACTGTCCGAGGTCACGTTCAGACCCCTTTTCTTCAAGGTGAGAGGTCACGCTCGCCATGGAGTCTCCACTGATCCGTCAGAATGTTCAAACCTAATGTGTTTGTTTGTTTGTTTGTGCCGCAGCTGTTTGACTGGAGTAAGTCAGACAGTAAGGACCGTCTCCTGACGTTTTACCGCCTGTGTGACGGCGTCGCCGAGCGTCTCAAAGGACTCTTCGTCCTGTTCGCAGGAAACCTGGTCAAACCCATCGCAGACATCCTGAAACAGACCAACAGCTCCAGAACCGGTCCGATCACAGTTCTGCTCCTCGTTTAGAGATTTGATTGGTTCTGATCAGTTGAACACGACTTTACTTCCTGTTTTCTGTCTAACCACCTGTTTATCTAACTTCCTGTTTGATGTTTTGACTTCCTGTTTGTTGTGTTGACTTCCTGCTTGTTGTGTTGACTTCCTGCTTGTTGTTTTGACTTCCTGTTTAACTTCCTGTTTGTTGTTTTGACTTTCTGTTTGTTGTTTTGACTTCCTGCCTTTTGTTTTGACTTCCTGTTTTTTGTTTTGACTTCCTGCTTGTTTTGACTTCCTGTTTTTGTTTTGACTTCCTACTCATTGTTTTGACTTCCTAATTAACTTCCTGTTTGTTGTTTTGACTTCCTGTTTAACTTCCTGTTTGTTGTTTTGACTTCCTGTTTGTTGTTTTGACTTTCTGCTTGTTTTTTTTGACTTCCTGCTTGTTGTTTTGACTTCCTATTTTTTGTTTTGACTTGCTGCTCATTGTTTTGAGTTCCTGTTTAACTTCCTGTTTAACTTCCTGTTTGATGTTTTGAGTTCCTGTTTTTTGTTTTGACTTCCTGCATGTTGTTTTGACTTCCTGTTTTTTGTTTTGACTTCCTGCTCATTGTTTTGAGTTCCTGTTTAACTTCCTGTTTGATGTTTTGACTTCCTGTTTGTTGTTTTGACTTCCTGCTTGTTATTTTAACTTCCTGTTTAACTTCCTGTTTGTTTTGACTTCCTGTTTGTTGTTTTNTGTTTTGACTTCCTGTTTGTTGTTTTGACTTCCTGCTTGTTATTTTAACTTCCTGTTTAACTTCCTGTTTGTTTTGACTTCCTGTTTGTTGTTTTGACTTCCTGCTTGTTATTTTAACTTCCTGTTTAACTTCCTGTTTGTTTCAGACGAGCTGATCTTTGACTCGGACCGGTCCGAGGAGAAGAACTGTCTGCTGCTCCAGTTGGTCCTGGATTGTCTCCAGAAGATCTTCCTGTACGACACTCAGAAATTCCTGAACCAGGACCGGGCCGAGGCCCTGCTGGTTCCTCTGGTGGACCAGGTGAGATGTCTGCAGGTTCATCGGGACCAGGTCTGGGGCTGAAACAAACAGAACCTAACCAATCATGTGTCTGTACGCAGCTGGAGAACTGCCTGGGTGGGCAGCAGGTCTACCAGAACCGGGTCACTCAGCACCTGGTTCCCTGCGTGGGTCAGTTCTCTGTGGCGCTGGCCGATGACTCTCAGTGGAAAACTCTGAACTACCAGATCCTCCTGAAGACCAGACACAGCGATGCCAAGGTGAGCCAGACCTAAGACCACTTAGCAGGTTCTGAGACCACCTGAAAGGTTCCAGAAGGACTGGGTCGGTTCTGAAATCTGGAGAAATGAAAGAATCGTTTATTTTAGATCATATTTAATTTTATGTAGAACGTTTTTATCAACACCTCAATAACGGTTTCCTCCTCCTCCTCCTCCTCCTTGTTCCTCCTCAGGTCCGGTTCTCCTCCCTCATCATGCTGATGGAGCTGGCGTCCAAGCTAAAGGAGAACTACATGGTTCTGCTGCCGGAGACCATCCCGTTCTTGGCAGAACTCATGGAGGGTGAGTTCAGCCGGTTCTGTTCAGGTCTTCTGGTCCAGCACAGATCAGGTGCTGCTGCGGTTCTGGTTCTCGCAGGTTGAGTCTTGTTTGTTTTTTCAGATGAATGTGAGGAGGTGGAGCAGCAGGTCCAGAAGGTAGTTCAGGAGATGGAGAACATCCTGGGAGAACCTCTGCAGAACTACTTCTAACAAGTTATACAGAAATGTTCAGCCCACAGAGACAGAACCGACATGGAACGAACAGAACTTCTTGTTCTGATGCTTTAAGTGTTAAACTTCAATAAAAGTTAATATTTTTATGACTATGATTGAGTTTCTTTAATGATGTCATTCCAGCAGCTGACCAGCAGGGGTCACTGTGGAGCTCTGAGGTTACTTCATGTCCCTACAGACCCCCAAACACACAGTCCATGGACCAGGGTGGCTATATATATATATCGTTATGCACATGTGTAATGACAATAAAGGCATTCTAATCTATTCTAAAAATAAGTCAAAATGTAGGACAGGACAGTTATTTTTCTTATGAAAAGTTAGCTTGCTGGTAGTTACAGTGGTTTGCAAAAGTATTCATACCCCTTGAACTTTTCCATATTTTGTCACATTACAACCACAAACATAAATATATTTCACTGGAATTTAATGTGAAAGACCAACACAAAGTGGTATACAATTGTGAAGTGTGTAGAAGATACTCCAACATAACTTCTCATATTTAACCTAATTAATATCGACTAATATTAATATAGTTAATATA